CCATCTAACATGTTGCACAGCCTCACGACTGATAGTAAGGATGTTGTGAATGTCTGGGGTCACGGTACATTGCCGATGCGCTTTGGTCGTAAACCCGCTGACCTGATGCAGTAGGTGGCGAGTAATTCGGCATCGTGGCATATGCTGCTCGCTCCGTGGAGGCTGTGTAAGCAATGTTGTGGGGCATTATTGGTTGCTGGGCGACCGGATATGGGCTGTAGCCATACACTGACGGGCTCGTGGGTGCACCGGTGTGCAGTGACGGCGAGGGGTGATGTGCGTAGGGCGACGTTTGATCCCATGTGGGAGGCATGTTGGAGCCCAGTGGTGGCTGAGTGTATAGATACTGATACGGAGTGACCGATGAATGGTGTGAAATCCGGTCGGCTGTAGCGGTAGGTGTGGCGTATGTTTGTGGAGATGACCATGTTGAGTATGCGTCGTTGTCGAAGCTTGACCAGGAATGGCGACTTGATCCGTGTGATGGTGTGGTCAGGAACGTATCGTACATGTGAGAATTGGGGGAGAGGTAGTCATCGTCCTCGGCATAGTTCGACAGGGCCGGTGTACCAGAGTCGGATGGAGAACTTGGAGCATTGGGAAGGGTGATGCCCTGGTTCTGGTATCTTCGCACGAGGACCGTATATCTTGACAATATTAGGAAATAGTGCAACAAACAGTAGTGAAGAACGTACCTATTCTTGATATCATTCTTTGATCTTCCTGGAAAATGCTCACGTTGGATGTCTTTCCAGTGTCGTCCGAGTCGCTGGACTGCATCAATAAGTGTTGAGTCCTATACAGCACCTTTCAGTAAGCCGAAAGTGGTTTCTGTCCGTGAGACTGCTATCACTGACATCTAAGTCGCGCCATTCGCTTCGATCAAGATCCGGATTAAGTGACTGCTGCCACCGCTTCGCGCATTCTAAGGGATGGTCAGCAACGAAGTAGTAATACATCGTAGTACTTACGGTCTGCACTGCGACTTCCGACACAGCTTGCTACCACTGTCCATCTGTTGATAGTGGAGTCAGTACCAGTGTATGCTTCCGATTGTTGAGCCATACTTTTGGCCGTATTGTTGGACCCCTCTTGAGAGCAACTGATCTTCACTCTTCGACCACTGCCCCTTCTTGAGACCTCCTGCTACCGAGTTGTGCCACCGTTTTCGACAATCTTTGTTCGTTCGACCAGGGAGGCTATCGGCGATTCTGCACCTGCAGGCACTGTTAGTTGTTGACTTGAGAGGAGTCAAAGCAACATACCAATCCTTGACTTCTCCTTCTACGACTGATGATGCTTAGTTAGCTTGCTTAGGAAATGCTGATATGCAGAGACTGCTGCGTAGCTGCGGAGCATAGAATACCACATGGGCTGTGTCTCATGCAACTGGTGTAACTTACGTTGGGCCTCCACTTCTTCGCGGAGTTTCTGATCTTCCGCTAAAGACCACTTCCGAGGTTGGCGAATGGAATTGTCCATAGCGATCGGGAACAGGTGAAGATGCTGTACTCTAGGATATCTGAATATAACCAGAAGTCTATAGACGGCAGATAGGATAGTATGGTCAAGAGAGAGGACAAGAGTTGTTTGGAGATATTGCAATAAACTTGAGTTATGTCAACCAAGTAGCAGTGACCTAAGGACTTGGTACAAGTAAAAAGTGCAAGACTATCAGCAATGTAGACATCGTGAGGAGACAACCTCGAGCGGAAAGCTAGCATAATAGTGTTCCAGCGCCTTGGCAAACCAGGTCCTTGGATTTTCCGGAGGGAGAGACGGCAAACAAGCTGTATGCCAAGCTGTAATGTTCGACGGTGGTACTCGGTTCGGCTAGTGGACGGCGCAACCTACAGCGTTTTCGAAACAGCCCAGTAACGAACATGTTCCATGCAGATGGACGAGGCTTTGCAGGCCATGACGCGTGCGTGTATGGTTAGTGCATCGTCTGACGGGCCGTTGACCAGGTGGTGTGTACAGCCCCCAAAGGATTCCCGCACTGGCTAGGTCCCTGTAGGTAAGGCTGCATGGACCATACACCGCTAACCCAAAAGAACTTCAGAACTTAGCAGCCGGTTGGAATAAGCTTATTGCTCCACAGGATATGCCATGTAGTCGCTAGGAGCAGCAAGTTGCATAGCGTGCCTGATGTAACAGCCGCTCGTTGCCCAGAGACCTGCTTTTACCCTTTGTGGGCCTAATCTTCTAATGGTGGAAAGCTCGCTGGACTCGCATGAGCACGAGAATTCGGATATCTATTGTACGTCAAATTCCTGCGAAACATAAGTGTCTCAGACGCCAAAAGAGGAAGCCCACCCGTTGATGATTTCGAGGTGGCTTCAAAAAACGTGACAAGGTGGCTGTGCTCTAGTCCAATATGGGCCAACGCTGATCATCTCGGAAAAGCAGCCGAACAGATCTCTGGAACAGTCTAAGCCATCTGATAGCCGCATATAATCCGCGAAGGGACGGTTGCGATATGCGTGGTAGCTGTCGCTATTGTTGACATCTCGCCACCACTATCGTGCGCAGAGGGTGTTAATACTGCAATGTTTTAGTGACAGTCTGCGCCATGCGCTCGAAGATCCGCTAAGTTCTCAGACGGAGAGTGTGTTGCTATATGGTGTCGTGCCATTGGAACGAGCTCGTTCAGTTGGAGGCGAAGATTACTCCTGGCGGTCAGTCCGCAGTCTTGCTGGTACGACAGGACCAGGGAGGCGATTACAGCGGTGGCGAAGACGGAAATCGGCAGTCAGATCAACTGAACGCATTCCGGTGAAGTGGTGACTATTCGCGTCTTGTGTATGTTCACATAGGAGGTCGTGAGAGGTACATGCTAGGAAGTGAGAGCGAGGCTGGGAAGAGCGTTCACCCCTAGCGCGTGGATCGCGTTCCGTTCGGCAGGTACCGTCAGCCACTTTTGGCAGTCGCCGACTACTCCACGACACATCCAACGCAGCAACTCCGACTCGCATGGCGATCTGGCGTGTACTGATTAAGCAATGCGCTTTTATCGCTCGATCGCTCTAAGTTGTCTCCGAGCCTACTGCTCCTCGTCAAAGGGCTGAGGGTAGGGCTGAACATGTAACATCACACAACCGCATTGGTGCATGGTGACATCGAACGATGCAAGAAAGAATACAATGTACATAATTGATTCGTTGAGTCAATGGTGCTTTCTCGGTGAAGAAGCTGTGCACCTAATCCAGACTATCTGTGGCACCACTGCTTCGTCACAGTCTGGCCTATTGTATCTTGTGTAAATAAGCTGCTACCCTCTCTGAGCAAGCATGTCTGTGACGACGGCTAGATCGTAGCCACTCAGCATGCTTCCCGATCCATTGGCCAGTATGATGTTCGACCTGCGGGAAGTGCAAGATTTGCATTGTAACGAACGGGTCGAAACCGTGTTCGTTGTAAAGCGGAGCGGTGTCTCCAGCACTGGAGTGAGTGCGTGGATATTGATAAGAGCGCGCGCACGCGTGGGCTGACGCAGACGTACTATCCCTTGGAGCTGAGGATAGTAGCGTCGCTATCGTCTGACGATGCTTCAGGTCTTGCCCATGAGCCTCTGCGCTTTCGCAAGCAGGACTGTGCTCTCTCGACCCAGCTTCCTTTGGCCATTGGGTCCCCTAGCTTTGGCCATGGTTTTCCTGAAGCGCTCACGCTCAGCGATCCTCTTTGCGCGCTCCTTCTCCGCTTCCTCCCTGGCTTTTTGCCTCGCCTCTATTTCCTCCCTCTTCTTCCGCGCCACTTCTGTCTCTTTCAAGAATGGCTGTGGTCGAGCTCGCCGCTGTCGTCTCTCCCAAGTCTGTGTGGATTCTGGCTCGGGCGACTTCTCTTCCAGCATCGCGACGCGATCAGGGTGAGGCTCCAATGTGGGCTCTTGGACGGGCTCAGCAGGCTCCTCATCCTCGTCTTCGTTGTCGTCGTTGGCAGATTCGCGGTCGTAGACAGACTTGCGCGGTGCCGTCTCTTCGTTCTCTTCGCGGGCTTTGAGCTTTGCGTATTGCTTCTTCAGCTTTGCTTTGGTGATAAGGCCTTTCTTGATCTTTTCGACTGAGTACCCAATTAGCAGTTGAACTATATATGCCATGCCAGCAAACGTCGGTATTGCGTAGTTGCCCAGTACTCGAAACTACTGCGATACGCCTGTCTGAGTCCCTCCTCTGCGAGGTTTTTATGCATGGAGAATACGATGGAGAAAACCTACTCTTCCGTCTATGGGTGCCATCCGGCAAGTTTGCGGGACCGATGTCGAAGCGACCCTTCTGCTTCTGCTTCTTCACCGCTGACTTTGCGTCTCCTTCATGCGGTCGTTTGACTGCCATATCGAAGGCTATGGTTGTGTTGAGGAAGTCTTGAGGCGCGGTATGGAGCTTGTCGCAAGAACGCGAGCCGACTTTCTCAGCCTTGGCAAAGTGGGGCGCGATCTAGAGCCAGTCACATGGTCTTCACCACCGCGGCGGTCCTGAACTCACGCCTCAGCTTTGTGCACCATCGCAACTATGCACCAGCAAAGACGCATCCCGCGGGGACGTGCAGGAACACCCGGATGAGCAGTGTGTTCTTTTTCGTCGTGTGACATGCTGCGTCGGCCAATACCGGTCCGGCGGCATGGGCGACTTTATCAGCAGCGATTAGGAACTTTCCGTCTTGCAACAAAGATCACAGCGCGTCATCTGTCCCGGTCCCTGCGTCCCTCCTCTCCGCACCTTCAACTGGGGCGCTCCACGCTGTTTCGTCCTAAAACTGGGCAGTATGACTGTACAATGAAGCGCCCACTGGAGCCAGCGCACCCCGTTTAAACTGGAAACTCTTACTCATATCATTCGCCGGGCCAGCAGGTGCTCCAACCGCTTGACCTGACGTCTCCGCCATCCTTACGACCTGCCATCTCAGTGCTCCACGTCTGTTGCGCTCGCAAACCCGCCACTATTCTCTGATACTTTGTCAAATCTTTGTACTCATGCTGTCTATCGCAACAATTTGTTACAGCCATGCCCATCTTTCATGATCCCCATGACAGTCCACCAACATCGTCATTCTTGCCTCAGGCCTTGGCCACCGGCTTTGAAATGCCGCATACTCCGGGATTTGCTGTAGAAAGGAACATGGAACCCGGCATGCAGCCAGAATCGCCGAAAGTCGACCTGCTACAGGATACGGACCCTGGGTCGCCCAGCCAAATGCGCAAGCCGTCCATGTTCGGACGGAAGGACTGGATGGAAAGGATTAAACGAACGAACAGTCCATCGTGGTTGCAGCGGCAAGGTGTGAGTAGCCGGAGAACTAGGAAACGTCCACCATGGTGCTTGATAATCAACGTAAGGAATACTGATCATGAATCACAGGGCGATTCCGTAACTGAGCGCGACTCCTCAACCCGACCGACATCGCAAGACCGACCGACTACACCTCAATCTTCATCCGCCGAACTACAAACCTCCCGAATCTCCACCCCGGAACATCTCCGTGACCCTGCAGCGGTAGGCCTGGATATCGAGCGTCCGCGATCGGCATTACACTCTGGAGATTTTAGAGAGAAGAGAGCGGGCACGGCCTCGGAGAATGACTCCTCATCTTCAGGCTTCCTAGCGACTTCCCCGGTGGTGCCTTGGAATCGCTCGTTCCCGTCTGCAGCTTATACTTCGAACCGCAACGACGTCTCGTACCCGGTGCCACATCACCCAGATGCCCGAATACCCGCGCGAGCGCGAGCGATATCGCAGTCATCACAGTCACCGTTTAGTTCATTTGCTTTTCTACCGCCCACAAGCCCGCTTGTCCAGCAAGCAAACAACACAGACTTGGACTTTTCCTCTAGGCCAGGCTCGCGGCAAGGGTCCCGAAGTCCCGACAGAAATAGTCGCCGGCATACCTACTCTCCTGCATCCTTTCATGACTACCAGTCCACCCAAATGGCGCGATCCGCCACCGGAACTCCGGCAGCTCGACACATTCGCCACAGTGGTTCAATGCCATACCAGGCGCACCAACCGCGACGATCAATGACTTTCAATCAGTCTGAGCCTCAATCTCAGTCGCAAACACCATTCCTACACGCTCGGCGCCCATCCTTTTCCTCGGAAGCATCTCCGTTGCAACACGCCCCCATGGTCGGTTCATATGAGGAGTCTATACTTCGCGGGCGTATGTCTACTACGCCTTCGCGGCCTCTTGATTTCGTCGCCAAGATTGGTGTACTCGGCAAAGGGCAATGCAAGTCAAGTCTGAAGTGCCCACCCCACGTCACAGTCCCCTTTCCAGCCGTATTCTACAGCTACAACACCGGTAACGGTAGGATCTCAGATAATGAGCCGAGCCCTTACGTTGGGCACATTGACCTGGAAAATACTTTGCCACCGCCAGATGAATGCAGCGAAGCTAGTAAACGTAAGCGACGACATGTGGTGCCAGCCCCCGAACAAGACGATCTTGACTTCAAGCTTAATCTTGGTGAAGAGGAGAGTGGACAGAGCGTGAAAGGAGACCTTCGTCGTAAAGAAAAGAAAAAGCGACGATCTACGTCTCCCAAGGCACCTCCGGGGGGATGTTACCGGATACCGCCGCAGGGGCAGCTACAAATTGTGCTGAAGAACCCAAACAAAACCGCAGTGAAGCTCTTCCTCGTGCCATATGACATATCGGACATGGAGCCAGGTCAGAAAACCTTCATCAGACAGCGCAGCTACTCTGCTGGACCCATTATCGATATGCCCGCATCTTCACGGAGGAACCTGGGAACTGACCGTCCAGAGGCTGCCCTCAGCAACTCGGACGATCCGAACGACCGACCTATCTTGCGTTACCTCATACACTTGCACATATGCTGTCCTTCAAAGGGTCGTCATTACTTGTACAAAAGCATACGGGTCGTTTTTGCGAATCGTGTACCAGACGGTAAAGAAAAGCTGAGGAATGAAATCCAGCAACCTGAGCCTAGATACAGCACGTACAAGCCGACGCGAGATGCATCATCGTTGCAAAAGACACATCTACCGGGAGCTCAACCAGCTACGGACAAGGCTTTCCGTCGACGCAGTGCTGGATGGCCACTGTCTCAATTTCAGCACTTGTACGATCAGCTCGATGGATTGAGGCAGCACACTCCATTACCACCTCCAGCCGTCAAGTTCACTGGAGGTACCACCAACTCCTCAGCATCAAGTGGCTTCAACTCACCTATGCCGGAACTACAGCCCATACCTTTTACGATCGGTAGGCTCGCTGCAATCGAGTCACGGCCTATGTCTCGCGATCGCATGGACATTGATCCGAAGAGCCCCTTCAGAACACCCATTACTTCGCCGCGAGCTGGCGTAAGTAGTCCGAAAAGTCAAAGCGATGGTACCTTTGAGAAGCTCAGCAAAGGCGACATTGGCTACGGCGGAAATGCATTCTCTCCGCTCGGCAGCCCGTCCGCTCCGCCCAATGCCGGTCTATTATCACAGCGGTTGCGCGGTTTGGATGTTCAGCGCGACGAGGAGGAGTAAGCACTCTTCACTCACAGGAGTTCGGACAATCCTTATTGGTCTGTTTTATGTTGAATACCCAATGTCTGTTGTTCTTTTACTGGCGTTATACATTGGCCCTATTGGGTGTGGCTCTTGAATTATAGCGTCTCTCTTGTAAAATATGCTAGATATCATAAATCATACGAACACATAAATCTAGCCTGCTTCCGGAACCGTGCAGCCGATGCGTGCGATGACGCCTGCCGAACTTGTTGCGTAGGGCTTAGCGTGGTTGCGCTCAAAGGTTCGCGAAGAGTGACGTCGGCGATAATTTGGCTAGAGCCGAGCTATCGTCGGCGACTTGAACACTGAGTATTTATCTATCCGAACAACATCTTCGAGACTCTAAAGACGATAGTCGCCTTCTTAGTTCTTTCTGAATCGCAATACAATATCATCGCGACACCAATACCAACCATGGCCTCCAAGCGCGCAGCCCAACTGCTCGGCGTCCGCTCCAATGCCTCCGTCATCGGCCGCCAGCCTACACGATTGAGCTTCAACACTGCGCGCGCTTTCAGCATCGCACCCAGGTCGCAAAACACATCTATCTCGCAGAGCAGGGCATTGGCTGTAGGAGGTGCTGCGAGGTTACACGCGACGCCAGCACAAAAGAGATGGCATTCACAGGCCCCCAACGACTTGAAGCAGAACAAGCTCTACCAATTTGACGATGTACGTCTTACCGTTATTTCCCAAGACTTTCTTGGCCAATACGATCGGCTTCTTTCAAGCCATAATACACCCCTTCAAGCGCATCGCTAACCCATACAGGTTCTACACATCCTCGAAGCGCCCTCAGACTCACGTCTCCTCATCGACGTCCGCGAACCCCATGAATTCGACGCAAACACTATACCCACCTCTATCAACATCCCTGTCACCTCACAACCCGATGCGCTACTACTAGACGAAGAGGAGTTTGAAGATAGGTTTGGCTTCCAGAAGCCACCCAAGGGAAAAGAAGTCGTCTTCTTTTGCAAGGCGGGAGTGAGGAGCTCAGCGGCTGCAGGAATCGCGAGACAAGCTGGGTAAGTCGGATTTTCCATTGGCACACGCCCAGGGTTCGATCAGAAGGCAAAGGACGCTTGCTAGAGATCATTAGCCAACTCGCACGGCAGATACACAAACGTTGGCGAATACCGCGGCTCGTGGCTCGACTGGCAGAAGCGCGGCGGACCGGGCACAAAGTCACCACCGAAGCCCGATGGCATGGGCGAGCCCAAGGCCCCTACTACCGAGACGAAGCCTACAGCTAGGACAGGTGACAGCGGAGAAGAGGATCTAGGGCCTCAGGGACAGCCAAAGTACCCACCGGGAGGCATTATGGGCCAACAGTAGATCTCCGATGCTAAGTTCGCAAATGGGGGATGGCTTGGTAATAAACGATACATGGAGGGCGTACATAACAAGATGAGATTAAGATACGATCAATTCGAAACAGATACTGCGTCACTTCCAAGAACATTCAGAAGGGCAATAGCACATTTCCATGCAATCAGAGTATAGCATCTAAAGAGTGTTATTGCAGCCAGCTACTCAAAATTACAAGTGTTTCAAGAATGAGAAGAGATGATTAAAAGAAGGTATTCCGCGAACGTAATGAATGCCGAAGTTAGTATTGTCCAGTGCTACCGGTCTAAAGCTTGAGCCTGGCACTGATGAAGAGTTAGCACATCTTAATTCGGATAAGTAGATCAGATTCAAACTCACCATCTGCCAGTAGACACCCCGTTTCCTCAACAGCCCTTGGTGGTCACCCCTCTCCAGCACCATGCCACTACCCAAAACAAAGATGACATCCGCCTTCTGAATCGTAGCAAGGCGATGCGCGACTGCAATCACTGTTCTTCCGCCCTCGCCAGCAGCACGCTCAATAGCATCCTGCACCAACTTCTCAGATTCAGAGTCGAGAGAGGATGTCGCTTCATCCAGTAAAAGGAGTTTTGGTTTACGCAACAAGGCACGAGCGAGACTAAGACGCTGTTTCTGACCACCAGACAGCGACATGCCCTTTGGTCCTAGGCGCTGGGCATATCCCTCGGGCAGGGATGTGATGAAGTCGTGGATCTGGGCGTCACGGCATGCTTGCTCGATGTCTTCATCCGTAGCGGTATCGACAGATAAAGCAACGTTTTCGCGTATCGTGCCTTCGTACAGCGTAGGCTCTTGGCTGACGAGACTGATCTGCTTGCGATATTCTGCGGGATCAAGAGTCGTGATGTCTTGTCCGTTGTAGAGGATGCGGCCAGATGTTGCATCGTAGAAGCGCTCGAGGAGGGATATTGTAGTAGATTTCCCGCAGCCGGATGCACCCACAAGTGCGGCGAACTGGCCTGGTTGGACTTGGATGTCGAGGTTGGATAGAACGGGCACTTCGCGGGTTTTGTAGGCGAAAGACACATTCTGGAACTCGATGCCAACGCCTTCTTCTGGTTTGTGCAAAGGCGGGTATGTGGCTGTTGCAGTGGTCTTTGATGGACGCATACTGAGAATGCGGTTTGCGGCGCCGGTCGCTTGGGCCATATTGGGGGCATACGAGAAGAACTGTCCTGCTGCAATGGCGCCTTGCACAATAGCTTGGTAGATGACGAAAAAGTTGACAGGGCTGTACTCGCGGGAAGCCAGGAGAGTACCACCGTACCAGAAGGTAAGAGCCATGCAAGCCAATTCGATGCTGTCACTTGCCGCAAAAACAAGAGTGCCATACTTGGCGCTTGAAAAGGCTTTTGTGACGTGACCTTTCAGCAAGGTCTCGTAGCGCTGACCGATCATATCTTCCATGATAAGACTCGACACTGTGCGGAAAGCACCGACAGCTTCTGAAGCAAACTGGCTGCTGTCTTCAAAAACCTTTGCGTTGGTCTTTTCAAACTCGTTTTCGAGGCGCACACGTAGATATCCAGCAGCCAAGATGAGTGGTAGCGCGGAAAATAGGGCAACAAGCGACAGTTTCCATCCGTAGATGAAAGAGATGATTACGGAGCCCACTACGTTGACTATAGCAACGAGCGCAATGGACATCTCTGTTGCCATCAGCTGCTGGATCTGTGTCGAGTCTGAGCTCAGGGTTGATGTTAGAGATCCAGGGCTATGCCCTTGATCGTCGAAGAAGGCAATGCGTTTGCGGATGAGATTATCCAGGTATTCTTGGCGATAGGTCCTTGTTACGGCGACAGAGATGAGGTGACAGGCCAAGCCCATGAAAAAGTAGGATAGAAAGGTACTCGCAGCTAGAACACCGAACATGCCTGCCCAGAAGTTACCCTGGCTGACGAGTTCGCCCATGGGAAGTGTGAAAACGTTGACGACATGTGCGAAGATGTAGGCCTGGAGTGGGAATACGACACCGGTAGCCAGTATACCCACGATAGCGACACTGTATAAGATCCAATGTCCTCGTTGTTCGTAGAGAAGACGCCCGAAGCTGCCAAAGAGACCTTGCTGTTTGTACTTTGGATCTTCGGCTACTTTGGAAACATCGGTGCTCTGCTTGTAGTCTTCGACTATTGCAGTGTCTGCGCTCTTCACCTTTTCGAGCGAGCTAGCATCAGCGTCCTGTTCCGCTTCCGTAGCGATCTCTTGGGCATGGACCAAGCCGTAGTAGACACCAGCTTCTAGCTTCAACAGCTCATCATGGGTACCTTGTTCCACGAGAGCGCCTTGACGTAAGACTACGATCTTGTCCGCACGCCTGATGGTAGAAAGACGATGCGCGATGACGATAGTCGTCCGATTCTTCGATACGCGATCGAGAGCCTGTTGAACAATGCGCTCGGTGCGTACATCGATAGCGCTCGTAGCCTCGTCGAGAATCAATATAGGAGGTTGTTTGATGATGCTCCGCGCGATCGCAACTCGTTGTCGCTGTCCACCCGAAAGCTTGATACCACTCTCGCCTACCAAAGTCTCGTAACCTTCAGGAAGTTTGGCGATGAATTCTTCGGCGTAGGCTTCGCGACACGCCTCATCGACCAGTATCTTTTTCTCTTCTTTGGGCAAGTCTTCGTACTGAGTACCAATAAGACCGAACGCGATGTTGTTGTATAGAGTGTCGTTGAACAGGAAGGGCTCTTGCTGGACTAGACCAATCTGAGAGCGCCACCATTTTAAGTCGACATCTCGTAGGTTGGTATCTCCGATCCGGATAGCACCAGTGCAAGTGTTTGGGCCCAGACCAGGCTCCTCGTCTTTGCTCTCGCCTTCTCCAGCCTTCTCCGCAGATGCTTGTTTGTCTCCATCTTTCGGCACAGCTTTCTTCTTGAACCATCGAGACTTTTGCGGGCTGTCCTTCTCGTTGTCGTGTGCGTCCTCGTGAGGCGATGGGTCGGCCGCGTGATCGTCAGAGGTGGCCGTAGCTGTTGTGCCTGAGAGCTCGTACCATCTCTGCAACAACCCCACGATAGTAGACTTTCCTAAAAGTTGAGGCAAGTGGTTAGTAACTAGAACATGAATTGCAGAGTAGAAACTGCTTACCACTCCCAGACGGACCAACAATAGCGGTAACTTTTCCTGCCTCAAACTCGAGGTCAAGACCTCCAAGGATCGGAACATTTGGTCGGCTTGGGTATGAGAAGGCGACGTTTTGAAAGCTGATGTTTGCGTTGGCGGTGACATCCGGCTCTTTCAATCCAGTGGTATCGGGAACGGCTGCATCGATCGTGATGAATAATTCGGTAGCGGCAGAAGATGCCTTCGCAATGGCCATGATTGGGGCCACAACCCTACCGACGTTCGTTATTGCCATCATGACAGAGAACAGAACCACCACTATCGTTCCAACGTCGATGTTCTTGCCTTCCGAATACTGTTTGATGCCGAACCAAAACGCAATCGCAAAGGTGCCATACTGTCCAATCATCATGGGTGACATCACGAGACCCATGAGAGGCGCAGCTCTGGCCTCGTTAGTCGCAGCTTTGTCCAACAAGGCCTCGTGCAACCTCGCCAATTTCGCCTCTGCACCAAACGCAGCGACA